TCAAATACCTGTGCTGGAGTATAATGATGTGCTCATCGCTCTCACTGGCAGGATCGCCTCTCGAACCTTTCCACTCATGACTCCTTTTTCCCATGAAAATATTTGTTTGTTTGTGTCTGTGGATATTTTGTCTGTATTCACGTATGTGTACTGAATACATAGATTTTTGAGGGAAAGGGGACTATCTAAACTATAACAGCTATATGTAAACTTGCTAATAAAGGATAAAACACAGGTGTGTTTTCCTGGCTTACAGTATGCAAAATAAAAAATAGCTGGCTAGCTGCCAGTGTATAAACCCCGACAGATTGGTGCTCCCCACACTGTGAGTTGGGAATCTGCAGAGTCACTCAGACCTAAGTGCTCAGAGTTGCAAGTAGTGAGGAACTGAAACCCACTTTCATTGGCTTTAAAAGGCTCCTGGACACATACATCTCTTCCTCTGTCTGCATTTAGTGAGGTTGGGTTAGGAGTTTGGTCAGAAGGAATGATGCCATGGGAATTAGTAAATGCTACAGATCAAGGTTTTGCTCTCAGAGCTGACTGTTACACTACACCTTGCTAACTATGCTGTCTCCAAACTTGTGGAAGCCTCATGACATGCTTGCTGGCTCTGATAGTTCAAAGCCCATTTAAGATCAGGCTTAGAACATACACAGCCATGTGCTGCATACCAGGGTTGTTCAGTAGCATATATGGCAGAGGTCCCAAAGATGGTATTGTCTAGGAATGTTGTACAGTTTTAGTTTGTGTAAGTACAGTCTATGCTATTTGCACAGTGATGAAATTGCCTAACTACACATTTCTCAGCATGTATCCTTGTAATTAAGGTATACATGACTGTTTTATTAGCCAACTTTTGGTTACAGTAATAAAATGCCTCGGGTAATCTAACTTTATTAAGAAAGGTGTAGTTGGGCGTAATGACTCATGCCTCTAAGTCCAACACTTCTGAAGTGAGGCAGGAAGTTCAGGAATTCAAGGTTACCTAGTCTAGACTCACTCCCTTTCTCTGTCTTCATGTTTCGAGACAGTGTGTCCCTAGGTCTCACTCTGGAACTCACTCTGTCGACAAGGCTGGCCTCAAACTCAAAAAGCTGCCTGCCTCTGCCTCCTGAGTGCCGGGATTTTTAGGTGTGCACCTGGCTAGGCTCTGTCTTAGAGGAAGAAAAAGGGTTTATTAGTTTTGGACCTTAACCTTTTTGTTTGTTTGTTTGTTTGTTTTATTTTTATTTTTTTATACATAGCATCTGTCCTTGTAGTTTAGGCTGGTCTCCTGTCTCAGCCTTCCCAAGGCTACCATACCAGACTTTAATAAAAGTCCAACAGTATGATGATGTCTTGGGTGTGGAATGGAGTAGACTCTCCTGGCAAGAGAGACTCAGAAAACTCAGTCAGCTTCCAGCTTCTAGGGAAGACATATACTCTTTTTATGTGCCATTGAGGGCCACTTGGGAAGCTCCATCAGCTCATTATCATTCTGGGAACCATGCTCCAAACACATGGAAAACAAACAAACAAAAAAACCCAGTATCTAAACAGTAGCTGCTATATGTAAACTTGCTAATAAAGGATAAAACACAGGTGTGTTTCCTTGACCTACAATATGCAAAATACAATTTTGCTGCCAATGTTCAAACATTGAAAGACTGGTGTTCCGTTACCACAACACCAGGCTGAAGGTGAACAGTGAGCAGCCATCTTGTTGACACAGCCCTCAGCATTCTGTTACCTCTAACCTGCCGATGGCTGCTTTTGTTCTCTTACCCTCCCCTTTGGCATCTGTGTCCTGACAACTTGTATAAGGAAACTCCAGCCCATGGAATCAGAAGGATTGGTTTTGAGCTTTTCTCAAAGTAAATTCAGGCGTACAGACAAGCGGTGAAGGGTGATGTGTTTCAGATTTCCCATTTGGAAATCTCCGCCTCAGTTTGACTCATTTGCCCCTGGGAACCTCTCCTCCTAAGGGTCTCCTTCCTGAGGTCTCTACAAAAGTGACCTTTTGTTTCCCTTTGTTTGGGGTTTTAATAACCTTAGGCTCCAAAAATGTCTACCCTGCTGAAGAAGTCTATAGGAAAGATGGGTGCTTCCTACTCACACTGCATTTGGGAAAATCATTCTCAAAGGGAAGGCGACAAACAGTGTTTCAGATGGAAGTTGTACGTGCCTAGTTCACTTACTTTGACAGGTTTTTCTCCCCACCCACCCCCAAGGAGGTAGTTTCAGGGCTTCCAGATGGACAGATTGCCTATGTCCATATTTATGATGTTGGCTCTGGGGGAGGCTGTCAATATTGTTGATGAACCTATGATTAATATTTAAGCAGGTTAACCTATGTTTTCAAAATTAGCTGACGAAATTGTTACTTTTCAGCCTGGAGTGACCCATGAGGTGACAGTTCTCCCTATTCGTTTACTGTTTATTAAACAATAACTGAGAGCAGCCTTTAGCCTGGTATTAAGGCACATCTGAGGTTAAGAACAAGACAGATTATGACTAGAGCTGTCGGTTTCAGTCTATGGATCCACAGAAGATGGAGGACATAACATGGACCCCACTGTGCCCACTATAGTTTTCCAGGCCTCAGGGCAGTTCTATACCCATAGCATTGCCCTCTTAAACTGTACATTGTGTGTCTCTCATTTAAAAGTTTCATTTGGTAAAAGTGATGATTTTGGAAACCACAATGGGATGCATTTGTTTTGGGTCACTTAGAATGCTTATTCCCATTTATCAAGAATACTGTCACCATGCTGGCGACCTAGTGTAATTCTGCAGTGCAGGCTTAGATTTCATCATTGTTAAATAGAAAATTCAGACTCAGTGACGCAAGTCGAGTTTTCTTGTAGCTGTTACCTTATGTGCATGTATGTGTGTTCTTGTTTGTGTGAGGTGTGTGGGTGGGTGAGCCTGAAGAGTGTGCACATATTGCGCACACTATTGTTCTTCATCTTACTTTCTGGGGCCAGGTCTCTTGCTGAACCTGGAGCTTACAGACTTACCAAGGTTATCCAGCTGGCAAGCTCCACAGATCCGCCTGTCTCTACCTCCTGAGATAGGATTATAGCTTTGAATCCATAATGCCTACATCTTTACCATCAGTGCTGGGGAACCCAAACTCCAGTTTTTACTGCCTGACCCGACCCCCTAGATCTAGCATTTTATTACCTTTATTTGTTTTTTCCAGGCCCCATAAATAGTAATGACAAATAAGATGAAAATAGAGTCCCTGGGGGATGTTTGCTAGTGGCTAGTGTGTCACTTGTGGGAGTTTACCTAACTTCTTATTTTAACCACTGAGTAAGGCTACTAAAACCTACTTGTACATTTTTGGTGGTGATGGTGTAGTTTGTTGTTGTTTTTAGAAGCAGCTAAATAGCCATGGCTAGTCTTGAACTAATGATATTCCTATGTCAACATCATCAATGTTGGGACTGCAGGCATATGTCACAAATCCAACCTCACTGTGTGTGTGTATCCGTGTGTAAGAGAGAGAGAGAGAGAGAGAGAGAGAGAGAGAGAGAGAGAGAGAGAGAGAGAGAGAGAAATTAAATGATATCTTCCTTAATGGTTGAGTTTCATACTGGTGATTGGTAAGTTTGTAATTTTTTGGTGGTGGTGGTGGTGGTTTTCATTTCTGGATGTTAAACCAGGGCTTCATGAATGTTGTACAAGCACTCTACTTTTGAGCTACATCCCTGGTCCTGGTGGGTTTTCTGTTGGTTTGCTTATGTGTTTGTTTGTCCAAGAAACTGATCACCAATTTGGACCTGAGGCAGTGACATTAGGATCGTGATTTTTTGAGGGTACAGGGTGGCCACTAAGCTGCTCAGGCCCCCTACAGCCAGTTCTAGTCCCCCTTCCCCTCTGTAACTAAAAGAGGTGGAGGTGGTTTATCTGTTCATACTCACCTCCCTCCCCATAGTGTCTCGCTCCCTGCTTGCCTCTGGCTGACCTGCTTCCTCTCCAAAATCATCTTCCTTTCTGCTTTTATAGCACATAAAATTCATCACCTCCTTTTATTCCCAGCAAGGGGAAGTTTTACTTCATAGAATTCTGCAAGGACACTCCTGGGTCACCCCAGCTAGTTAGCCCTTTGTGTGTGGGGAGTGCCTTGCTGATAGTATGTGGCTATCATGAAATCTCCCTAGCAACCCTAGGATGCTAAATAACTCACTCCAGATCATCTTGGTTAAGTAGATTTTAGACCTTGAGTTCAAAGCCATGCCCATCTGCTCCAGAGCCAAGTGTGGGAAGAGGCTTTGTGGGCTCCAGGAGATTCTGCTCTACCCATTCCCAAGTCTTTTGAACCCCATGGTCTGTCAAATATATGAAGGATTATTGATAACATCTCAATATTCTATTCACTAGTCACTTTTGGCTATTGTAACAATATACCACAAATTTGGTGGTGGTTTACAATGACAGACATTACTTCCATCCAAGTTCTTGCAGCCAATGACCCTCAAACAAAGCATTGACAACAACACAATTCTGTAGGGGCCATGGGAAGATGTCACTGCTTGCCTTTCCTGGTGCCTGCTTGCTGATGGCATCCCATAGACCGTGGTACAGCAATCAGTTCTGTAAAGTCTTCAAAAGGCTTAATCCTCTGGGATTTTCTCATCATTCCTGTATGTGTCTACTGCCATTGGAGTACAATGCTTTCTTCAAGTTTCTCATCTGCAAAGATCTGTTTTCCAAATTAGACCAAACTCACAGGTTCTGGGAGTTAGGACAAGAAGATCCTGTATTCAGGCCACCAGTCACACAAGCCAATGAATGGGTGCATTCCCAAGAACCAGGCAAGCTCTTGTCCTTGTAGCACTGCTCTTATTCTGGCAGTGTCTGACTGTTGGTCAGCACAGTTTCACAGCTTGGGGGTATGAGAGTATTTTTTTTGCTTTGAACATGAATCTTACAGATAGCACATACCTCCTAGGCTTCTCCCAACTCGGTCATCTATGGCATACATCTAACAGGGTTCTGTTCTCTTGCAGATAGCAGACCTGCAGCTGCATAAACTGGACGAACTGGACTGTTTGATACAGGGCCTGCTTTATGTCGACTCGGTTGGCTTCAATGGCAAGCCAGAATGTTACTATTTTGAAAACCCCACAAATCCCGAGTTGTGTCAAAAGAAACCATACTGCCTTGATAACCCATACCCTATGTTGCTGGTTAACATGGGCTCAGGAGTCAGCATTCTAGCAGTGTACTCCAAGGACAACTACAAAAGAGTTACTGGGACCAGGTAAAACATGCTCTTGACTAGTAGAGTCACTTTATGCTTAAACTATGCCTATTTCTTGATGAGCAGTGTATAGCAAGGATTATTTCCGTTGAATATGCTTTTAAAAGAAATATGTTGGGCTCCTAGACTAACAAAAAGGGGTTTTATTGGGTATTTGTTTTGTTTTGTTTTTGGACACAGGAACTTCACTTGTAGTTAAGGCTATCCTGAAGCTTAGTGTTTAAGCCTAGGCTAGCCTCAGACTGGAAATCCCGCCTTAGTCTCTTGAGTGCCGGGGCTTTAGGCATGAGCACCATGACCAGTTGACTGGATGATGCATTATAATAGTAGAAGATGATGCATGTGAAGGCTAATAACATGAGGTCTTTGTCTATGGGATGTCCTGCTCGAGTTGGGGTGGGGGTGGAGAATGGCACACATTAGGTCACCAGCAGGTAGGTGTAGAGTGCCAAAAGGACCACCAGGGCTCTGGCTGGCCTGGAATTCATCATGTAAACCAGGGTGACCTCAAACTCACAGAGATCTACCTGTCTCTTCCTCCTGAGTGCTGGGATTAAAGATGTGCACTGTAATTCCTGGTACTGCATACATCTACATTTTCATTGAGAATACAGTAGCTTATTTGCTTGGCCAGGAATGAACACTGATCCCATGGTCGCCTTAGGACCAACAGAGTATCAAGATAGGAATGCTCAGCTAAGCAAGTTTTCCCTTAGAGAGTGCTTTCCTGGCAGAGGTGTAAACTTTACAAGGCCAGACTTCTCCCAGGAGGAATTGAATTGGTAAAGCTGCCCTCAAGGTCATAAGGAGCTACACATTCTCCACAATTAGAAGGATTTACACTTTTGTTGATGCATACACAATAGCTAATGAATGACCACAGCTGCATCCTCAGAAATGCAGACTCCAGGGGTCTGGATCATCCTGAGATGCTGTGAAGAAGCTCATTGTGGGTGTGTCTTCTTCACAGGTAGAGTAAGGCCTACAAACCCCAGGGGTGGATCCTCCTGCCTGAGCCTCCCAAGTGCTGACATTGTGTGTGTGTGTGTGTGTGTGTGTGTGTGTGTGTGTGTGTGTGCCACCCCTTCCAGCTCAGAAGTCTCTCTTGTTTTATGTTAGAAAACATCAGATGTAAACACTTAAAGATCCATGGTGAGGATTAGTATGTGGGACACACTTTGGGGACCATTGGTATTACACAAGCTCTCTACCACTGAGCTACCTCAGTGGGGACCATTGATGGAAGCAAATGGTGTAAACTTTAAGTTTTGTTGCTTCTCTTATAAACTGAGAATTTTAACTCCAGGTTTTCAGTAATTTTTTTTCTCATATTATATATATGGGTTTTTTTTTCTTTCCTGTAAACATTTTGCTATTGCTTTGGTGTATTTCATTTTGATTTTGTCTTTTGAGGCAGTGTCTCACTATGCAGCCAAAACTGGCCTTGGATTTTCCACAAAACACACCAGCCATAGCCTTCTAAATACTGGAATCACAGGTGGCCATGCCTCTGTGTGTGTGTGTGTGTGTGTGTGTGTGTGTGTACAAATACATGATGTGTATATGTGCATGTGTACACATGTGTGTGTTGGTACAAATACATGACGAGGTTTCTCAATGAACCTGAAGGCTTACCAATTCTAGTAGGCCAGATATGCTGGCCAGTGATCATCGGGGATCCTCATAGATCCACCCTCCATACTCACACCCCAGGCTTGGAGAGCCACCTCCCCAGCTGCACCAGTAAGTGTTTGCAAGAAACCATGTCATTTTGTGATATTCATTTTCTTCTACATGATTTAAATGGTAGGGTTTGAATACATTCACTATTTTTTAGATTGGGCACAATCATTTCCCCCATAGTGACACAAGTCCAATTCTCAGTATGAAAATTAATACTTTACAGGTAGTGCTACAGCGTGTAGCCTCTTAGAAGACAATAACTCTGGAACTGACGTGGAAGGAACAGTGCATCTCCCCTGGTCATTCAGGAATCCACACACATGCCGATTAATGGCCTTGCTCCACAGGCACTGCCAGTACAGTCACTAAAATGAGTGACTGAAGGGTTCTTCTCACTCTGATGAATAATAATATCCAGTGCCTCTTTCTGTCTATATATTATGTCTCTGATATACCGAGGATTTTTCTGCATGTCTGACAAAACAAGAAGATGTTTCTGTCTGTGAGCAAGAAAACTCCTTGACTAAATAAGGTTGAGGGGAATGACAAGCGCCAGAGACCTTGTGACCTTGTGTTCTTCTCTCCTATCAGCATCACGCCAGCTGTGCAGGTGCATGGCTGCTTTCCCATCCAGCTTTTTATGTGGACTCACTCACCATTTTCTAGTCATCCCCCATGCCAGACATCAGCAGATGAGTTAACCTTCTTTCTGAGTCAGCCAGTTTCTTGAGTTGCCTCCATCTGGAGTTGGTGGTTGAGTTCCTTGGTGGAACAAGGTGGATGCCTGATGTTCAAAGGATCATCAGGGACATAAACTGTCAAAACTGGAAATGTCAGCAAACAAGAAAATATAGGCGGTACAAAACCCAGCAAGTGTTCTCATTAAACACATTCATGTGGGGTTTGGTGTGCAGTTGAAGGTAGGCTTTCTTTTTGTGTGTGTGCCTATTGGTTTCCTTGTGATGCCACACTTACAACTTGGGTGCACAGTGAGACCTAAATGGCCCCTGAAGAGGAGGAACTCTTGAGTTGAAGGGTATTTTTTCTTTCTTCCTTCATTCCTTCCTTCCTTTCTTTTTCTTTTTTTTTTTTTTTTTCTTTTTTTCTTTTTTTAGGAATCACAGTCTGAGACTATGACACAATTTTATTATGAAGACAACATTAAAATCTATGTGTCCGCCTATGTGCCTGGTGTCTTCTGGTAACAGTTATTAATAATCAGTATAATTTACCATACATTTTCTTCTTCTTGAATCTAGACTTAATCTGCCATCCCCCTCCCCCCAGAATTAGAAGCTGGTTATCCGATGCAAATTGTTTTCCTGGTATTAGTGGTTCTTTGAAGCTGTAGAACTGATTGATGTGAGAAGCCAGATCTTTGTATGTCATGCACTGTAAATCAGAGAGAAGCCTTTGCCAGAACCTAGGAACTAAAGTTCCCTTTCTTGCCATGACTTCCCTAATGGTAGTTATTTCCCTGAATTGGGTTTTCATGACACCAGGTACCTTTGATATTGATGTATAAATGTATAATTAATTTTATTCTCAGCTACTATAATTAGTTTCTAAGTTTGGCACAAGGTCTATTTTGGAGCCATAGCCTCCAAAACAATGGAAAGATTTTAAAACACACTTCAAGCATTGGGACCATTCTCTGAACTTTTTCACTCTTACTAGTGGGCGGTAATTAGAAAGAAGCAATACCCTTTTCCAAAGAGTAGTAGAAAACATTCTTTTATTAAATAGACAATAGTTTTACTCTCAGAATTCCTGAGGTAGGAAGGGATGATTACTCTGGAGAAGCCCGGTTGGCGAAGTCAGCCTTCAGGACTGGCTTCTGGGACAGTCATGAGTAGGGTTTGTCATTGCAGGGATTGGATCTATAGCTATGAACTATGCACACACCATTTCTTTCCCTGTCTATTTGCACTTGGTTGCATATGGTGCTCTAACATCAGCCGTTTCTCTGGTTGCATGCTGTTTTTAGACTACCCAAACAGAACAAACCATGATTTAGCCCCTTCCAGAGACGAGCAGACTAATGAAGCACTTAGGCTAGTAGCTAGCTGAAGGTCTCACAACAGAAATCAGTGAGAGTCTTTTTCAATTTTATCCTCAAATTTAGGGGCACGTTTTCTTTGATGTTTGGGCTTAGCCGCTGCCCACTTTTCTTATCCAGTCTACCCTCAAGTTCTGTTCTAAGTCTAGCACTTCCCTTCAGATGCCCCTCTGCTCTTCAATAAAGTGCTCCTTCACTTTTCCGCATCTTCCTGAACCCGTATGAATAGTCTTGATGTAGCTGGGGACTTGGATGGGCATATCGCGAAGCAAAAATTAAAAAAAAACCAACCTTATTGTCCTTCAGTCTTGGAGGCGGGACATTCCTAGGCCTGTGTTGCTTGCTGACTGGTTGTGAGACCTTTGAAGAAGCTCTGGAGATGGCAGCTAAAGGCGACAGCACCAATGTTGATAAGCTGGTGAAGGACATTTACGGAGGAGACTATGAACGATTTGGCCTTCAAGGATCTGCTGTAGCATCAAGGTAGAGACTAAGTGGCTAGGAGCTGTAGAGAATCCACACAAGGCAGGCTCTCTACCCTGGCCATTCATCTAGTTTTCCTTTTTTAAAATAAATGCCAGCCTACCAGCCTGGTGCAAATATCTGACATGTCAACCTCAGACTTGATCTCCTGTCCTCAACAAAGCATTGAGATGCTTATCACTTGATACTTGTGCTTAAAATAAGGCAACTTTGAAAGAAGGTTCTGGAAAACTGCCGCAGTTTCCCCTGTTCCATTCTTGTCCAGATGTCTAGAGTCATTACAACTTCTTCCCCGTTAATAGTCCTACTTCCTTGTCCCCTGTTAAGAAGGGGGCAGCAGCCATTCATAGTGTAATACTGTCTGCTGATAAACCATGATAGTGAAGTCAGGGCATTGGAGTTTAAGCAGGGTTATTCTTAGTGCTTCCCAGAGTACCTTGGTGGAAGCTTGGGTCCTGCCTAGGGATGACTTTGAATACTCTCACTGATATTTCCAACATAGCTTCGGCAACATGATGAGTAAAGAAAAGAGAGAGTCCATCAGCAAGGAAGATCTCGCCCGTGCCACATTGGTCACCATCACCAACAACATTGGCTCCATTGCTCGGATGTGTGCACTGAATGAGGTAAGGCTTTAACCCTGAGAAAGCTGGGGCCATGCCCAGGCATCATCTTTGGCAGTGTAACAACTGTTGTCACTCTTAGGAAGCTTGCCTTTTATTATATGGTTACACCTTAGAGAACAGAAGACAGTATGATTTACTTTTAAATAGATACCCTTGTGGAAGCATGTCAGAAATCTAATCCACATTCCATTCTTTCTAGCCATTATTATTGCCACTGAAATGTGACGAAAGCCCTGGGCGTGTGTGTGGATAAGTACACATAAAATGCTCCCGCCTGCAGGACTCGATATTCTCTCTGCTTTCAGCTTCTTTACAGTGTTGCCTTGTGGCATGGAGTTCAAGCAGCATTGTACAGGGCTATCAAAGCACAGAGAGCTTGCTACAGCCCAGGCCAGCCAGAGCCCCAGGGACAAGAAATGGGTAGAGCTGCGATCAGACAGAGCTTTATTAACAAGTTTTGAAAGATTAAATTCTTCTGAGGAAGAAAAAAAGGTGGAACCTGTTTCTAAAAAACAAGATTTGAGGCGTAGAAGAACCCTCTCCTTGAGGTGTGTTAGGAAGACAAAAGACGGAATTTGGGCATGGAACAGGTAATAGGAGAAATATATAAGAGCCACAGCAGGCACATAAAATAAATAAACAAATCTTTCTAAAAAGGGAGGTGGGGTGGAGCTAGAGGTAGCTTGGCAGTTAACAGCACATGCTACTATTGCAGAGGTCTTGAGTTCAGCTTCCAGCACCCAAGCCTGGCGGTCACCACTGCCCTTAAAACTGCAACTCCACGGGGTCTGTAGAGCCCCTGCCAAGCTGAGTTACAAGGCACATTTGTTTGTTTGTTTTAATGCTGAATCTGTCTTTGACCTTTGTGGTTACAAAAGGAGACCCCTCCCTTCACAACACTGAGTAAAGTATATCACTGTCAACTGGAGAGCAGTCTGCAATTACTGGCAAGTCCTTAGTCCACATGAGTTTTAATGGGAATCAGGTGATCAGGTTCCAGAGCCATGCCTTCTCAAAGTCCACTTTGGTCAAGAGATTCATTGGAAACAAGGGTTTATTTTTTGGGCTTTAACCTTTACAGGGTGTTTTTCTACATAGCCAAACAAGCTGTAAGAGTAATATGTGGGTAGGCTGGCTGTACTCATGACTCCCAAAGATCAATTGCATAGTGCCACCCTTTGCCACACAGAGCAGCTGTGTCCTTTCCCCTGTTTTCCTGAGTTACCTTCTGCTGGAGTGAGCCAGGTCTTTCCCCAGATATCACAATCTTTGGCCTTTGGGAGAGGCCAACTGCCTTTATTTATTTATTTGTTTGTTTGTTTGTTTGTTTATACATTAAAAAATGGACACACTATTTGCTGACTTGGATATTTCCTGTGCAGATCAATAGATAAAGGGGCTGACTCACTGACTACCTGGGACCACAGCTCCTTTAGAGGTTGCTGAGTTAATGTAGGCTCTCTGGACAGCTCCGGGATTGGCAGTATCAGATTTCCCTGGGAGAGCAAAAGCCAAGGTCATCAGCCCTTACATTGTTCTCTGCGGTTGCTCATTTGAGAACCTTTGATTTTTAGCCATTTCCTATAATGGGGCACCATACTTCCTGAATCGGAGTTGCTTTTCCTTATGATAATGAAATGTTCTCCTCTCTTTTAAAATTGATTTTATTATTTTAAATTATGTATACGTGTGGTGGTCAGATGCCCCCCCAGAGTCCAGAGGAGGTGGACCCCCTGGGGCTGAAGTTACAGGTGCTTTCTAGCTATCTGATGTGGGTGCTGGGACTCGAACTCTGGTCTTCTGGAAGTGCATCACTTACTTCCTCTTAACCACTGAGCCATCACTCCAGCCCTTCTACCAAATTTAGGCTTTATTTACCTCTTTTTGTTAGCCTATATCAGTTCACAATGTGTTTTACTATGACATCTTCATACATGTACACAGTATATTTTGATCATAATTGCCTCCCTTACTCTTTCTTGTACCCTCTCCCACTGGCACTGATTGCCCTTCCCTTCCCAAAGGCCCCTAGCCTCCCTTCTACTCCCCCTCCCCCTGCACATACCAATGGTTTTCATCAGGGATTTTTTGTTTTAAACAGGAGCATTGGTAAAGTTTTGTTTACAAGAACAGTAAAGACAATGTTAATCCATCAGCCATGGACTGTATAAATCCTCAGGGAGGGATGGGACCTATGAGCCCTTCCTTCCCACCCCTGTGACCGGATGACAGGCAGTCTGGGCAGGTAATGGAATAGTCAGGCCTGGAAGTCAGTAGTGCTTGGCACTCCCCCTTCCTCCGCCCTTACTTTCTTTCCAGCCCTTCTCCCACTCTGTTGCTTGAGGGTTAGAGGGAGCGCCACAGCTGGACAATCGGCAGTCATTTATTCTCAGCCCTTTGACCCATTATGAGTGGATGCAAAAAGAAACTCCTCTGGTGTCGACACTAATTCATGGGCACAAACAGCTCTTTAGAAGGTAATTTGATAAGCACATCATGTCCTTTTTGCAAAAACAATAGCTTCCCAATAGGAGGAGCCTATTGACCTCCCCAGGCACAGCTTTTGACCGGGTGCACACTACCAGCTGTGAATTTCCTCTTGTGCAGTGTATACCTCAATTCCAATCTGAAAGCAGTAGGTTACTGTAGCACGATAAATGAAAGACCCAGAGACAGATATGGGGATTCAAGTTTCAAGCTGAAGATCAGAGAAGCAAAGCAGCCAGCCACTAGCTCAGGCTGAAAGGGCTGATCCAGTCTCCACAAGCTCTCACCAAGCCTCAGATTGTAACCTCTCCTCAGCATGGCTGGAGAATCAATCTCCACATGAGACCCTTTACTTTTTATAACTCCCTAATACTGGGGTTAAAGGGGTGTCATCATCAGCGTTAAAGTGCTGAGATCATCTTTGTGTGAGCTGTTTCTTGGTAGGACTGGATCAATTCCGTGTAACTCAGTGTGGCCTTGAACTAACAGAGATCTGTCTACCTCTACCTCCCAAGTGGTGGGATTAAAAGGTGTTTACCACCACTAGCGTGGCTGGCTTTGCAAACTGATCTCCAGTGGCTTTAATAACTCACAGATAATATATGTCTATAGATTACCCCTATAATTGACTTACTACTGTTGTGCCTATGGGCATGTCTTGCTCGGACAGTGGATATTATCACACACAAGTTCCATCACAGCTAGCTAAAGCCATTGATGTCATTTCTCTCCCAGCAGTCTGCATTGCACCTTTTATTTAGTTTGGAAAAGATAAGGCAGAGTCCCAAAGACAGCAGAAAGGCAGTCAGTCAGTGAGGCCAGTCCATTTCCACACACACCTCAGCTTGAATCTCACTATAGACTGTCCCTTGTTTCCAGGTTTGGTTTATTTTTAGTCTGTGGTTTATATGGCACGAGATAAATATGTGCTTTCAAACATAGCATGCTCTACAGAACATTCTCTCTTTTTAAAATTTTATTGGTATGTGTATGAGTGTCTTGCCTGCTTATATTTCTGTGCACTACATGTGTGCAGTGCCCACCGAGGCTAGAAGAGGCTGTCGGGGTGCCCTGGAAATGGAGTTACAGACAGTTGTGAACTGACATGTGGGTCCTGGGAATGATGGAACCCAGATCTTCTGGAGAAGCAGCTAAGAAATAATCACAGACTATACAATCCACCCTCCTCATACTATTGTGCATTTTGCTTTGTCGGGATGGGTTTTCGTCGTGGATGTCCCATGTGAAGGCTAGAGAGTAAAGGGCTCCCATGTGTCCATCAGTTCATACTGAGCTGTTTCTTGTTTCTAACTCCACCATCATTATCAGTCTACACATGCCTCATATATGCACCTCTGAAAATACTGCCTCTCACTGTTTTACATAGTGTGCTTGAGATTGCTGTATTTATATTTCAACATTCGTAATACCTATCTGGCACTCTACGTGCTGTCAAAGATTTGCTCACTTTCCTGATGATAGCATTTTTTTTTTTTTTTAGCTTTTTGCTTTATCAAAAGTCCTGTAGTATATACAGATATATTTTTTATATGTATGTGTTTTGTGCACATTTATAAAACATACAGTCTTGTATAAATGTCAGTATATCTGTAAGGTAAATTTTTACGGGGGCATGGGAGCCCACACCTTTAATTCAAGGTGGCAAAAATAGGCATATGTCTGTGAGTTTGACGGCGTGGTCTACATGGTGACTTCTAGGCCAGCTAGGTCTACATAGTAAGACCTTGTCTCTATCAAAATTAATTAATTGATTAAATTAAAAAGATAAATTTCTAAATCAATGGGTGTGTTGATTATAATTTTGACAGACATTGTAAAACTCCTTCTATAAATGTAGTTCTAATTTATATTTCCACTAAGCATAACATATAAATTTTTAGGCAGACTGTTAACTGAAGGCGGGGTTTAAATGAGTCTACCAGACCCAAGATAAATGATATTTAGGGAAGCACCTACACAGATAAGACTAAATAACTGCTGCAGTCTTCCTACTCTGATGCTCTCATGGCAACCCAATAGAGCTCCAGCCAGCCCCTCTTCTACTTTATAAGGGGTCATGTCTGAACCTAAAACTGCACTCAAAGGGTATGGCCACCACCACAAGTTCACTGGCAAAGCACAATGCCACTACAGTTAACCTTTTTTTTTAATTAATATTTTTATATTCCAATCCCAGTTCCTCCTCCCTCCATTCCTTGATCCCCTCCTACCCCTTCCTCCCATCTGCTCCTTGCAGAGGGTAAGGCCTCCCCTGGGAAGTCTACTAAGTCTGCCCCATCATCTCTCTGAGGCAGGCCCAAGGCACCTCTCCACCTCCACACTCCTGTGTCTAGGCTGGGCAAGGTATCTCTCCATATAGAATGTGCTCCACTAAGTCCGTTTCAATTAACCTTTGTTTTAATACTTTTAATCTAATAGAAAAAAATGTACCTTAAATATAAGTGGTTATATATTTTCATATATTTAATCATTATTAGTGTTTCTCCTTTTAAAATTTCTTAAATTCCATGTATTTGTGTGTGTGTGTGTGTGTGTGTGTGTGTGTGTGTGTGTGTGTGTGTATGTATGTGTGTATGCAAACATGCTATGGTCCATGTCAGAGGACAGCTCATGGGAGTCAGTTTTTTCCTTGTGCTATGCTGGCTTCAGACATTAAACTCAGGTCAGCAAGCTTAACAGCAAGCACCATTACCCACTGAGCCATTTTGCTGGCCCAGTAATTCCCCTTTTGTTCACATGTGAACAGTCTGTTAATATACTATTCACCCATTGTGTATTGGATTGTTGAACCTGCTCTCTTATTGGTTTGCAGAACTCTTTGTTAATTAACAAATAATTTCATTTGACATTTACTGAGAAAATTTTTCTTAAAATATTTTTTCGAGACAGGGTTTCTCTGTGTAACAGCCCTAGCTGTCCAGGAACTCACTCTATAGATCAGGCTGGTCTCAAACTCACAGAGATCTGCCTGCCTCTGCCTCTGCCTCTGCCTCCTGAATGCTGGGATTAAAGGTGTTCACCACCATTCCCCATCTTGAAGATAATTTTTCAAGTAAACAAATCAATTTTACTGGATTCTGAGTATCACACCTTTTCTACTTAAGCATTAATTTTAATTATTCTCGGTTATGTGTGTGTAGACATGTGAACATGAGTTGTTCACATATGTGTGTGTGTATGTGCCCATGTAGACATGTGAACATGAGTTGTTCACATATGTGTGTGTTTGTATGTGTTCATGTAGACGTATGAACATGAGTGCAGGTGGCTACAGAGGTGAAGTCATTGGATTCCTGAAGCTGGAGTTGAAGGCCGTTAGGAACTGCCCCATGAATGTGCTGCCAACCAAACTCTGGTCCTTTGCAAGAGCAGCATGGGCCCTTGGCTGCTGAGCCGGCTCTGTAGCCTTACTCTTAAGAAGAGCACCTTTTCCTTAGTCGCCTCTCATTTTCCTTCTTTGTTAAACATTTGTAATTTTGACCCACCTGGCCTTTACTGGAAATATGTAATGCTTGTCAGAATTTATTGCTGACCCTACTCCATCTGTCTTCCTGGTAGTACGATACAAGAATTCTACTTTGCTTCCCTTATGTTTAGTTAAGTTCCTCTTGGATATGTTCTTTCTTCACCTTCTGTATCCTGTAGTCTGGTCAGTTTGCAACTCCAGGCTTTATTTCTAATGGAAATGTACTGAAAGCACCTCTGAGTCCTTTACCCACAGACTATTTTTCAGTGACTAATGTCTTCATGAACATACATTGTTAAAACTTTAGGCATTTCAAAGATGATGTTCTTAGATCTTGATCATTCCTGGTAGACAGAGCAGAAAATAACTGTCCAAGACATTATTGCCTTTGATCTGAGTGACCATGGCAACTGGCCATGGTCTAGCATCTACATAGCAGGCCGGCTGAGCTCAGTCTTTAGCTTCAAAAACACCTTAGGGAAGATGGGAAGAGTGCAGGAGCTGGAGTTTGGGGAGATCTGAAGCCTGCCTGCATGCACAGATTGAGAGGAGTGTTCCTAAGTGTGGATTCAGAACAAAAATCTACATCCACACTGTGCATTTTTGTTACCATATTTTAATACGTCTGTTGCGCAAATAAGATATTCTACTCTTGAGGGCAGAGATGGAGATTGTTTATTATATCCCAAACTCAGTAGATAAATACACCACAGCCATTCATTTCATTTATAAGTTGGTTGTAATAGTATTTTATACTTGGAGATGGGGGGTTGCGGCGCTGGGAGACAAATTGAACTCTATTTTCAATAACAATATATGTGTGTGTGTGTATATATATATATATATTAAATTGAAGATATATCAGACTTAATGCAACCTAGCATAGTACCTGTAAGCAATAACATAATGACCTATTTATTATCATTTCTGTTTTGCCCATGTCCTAGTTTGCTTTCTATTGCTGTGATAAAGATCGTGAGATGGCAATTTGGGCTAGAAAGGATTTGCTTTACCTTCATTTCCTAATCAAACCTCATCATTAAGGGAAGCCCAGGCAGGGATAGAGGCAGAGCAGGAACCTGAAGGTGGGGCCCGAAGCTGAGGCCACAGCTGCTGACTGACACTACATGCCCAGCCTTATACAAGCCATTACTCCACCCACAGGGACCTGGGCCATCCCATACCAATCCTGAAAGTGCCCCAGAGACTTGCCAACAGGAGAGTCTTATTCGAGTTTGTGGCAGGTTAACCAAGAAGCCAGTATAGCACAACCAAACTCTGACCCTCTGTTGTGTGGAACGCTCTGGTGGTTTAACTTTGGTTTTGGTTATGCTGAAAGGGTCCCATTTACAAATATTGACTGAGCAAGGTCATAGATAACCACACCACTGAATATGGAATCTTTACTAAACACTGTTTTAATCCACGGTTTAATTGTTTCCCTGCTGTTTGTTTGGTTGGTTTTTCAGAATATTGACCGAGTTGTATTCGTTGGGAACTTTCTCAGAATCAATATGGTCTCAATGAAGTTGCTAGCATATGCCATGGACTTTTGGTCTAAAGGACAACTGAAAGCCCTCTTTTTGGAACATGAGGTAGGTCAGGGTCACAGAGACTTAATTGCCCTATGTGTATTTTGGGTTGTCTATCATATGAGTCTGTATTTCAAAATTGATCAAGTAGAAAATTGCCTTTTAAATTTTTTATTTATTCTCTCCCTCCCCACACACAAAAAAGAACAGTTATACGATGGAAGCTTTTATAGCCAACAGTGGAGATTCGAAGACGGTTACTGAAATGAAAACAAAAAGTCATTTGGAAATGTGAATTATCATTATAACTATTGTAGGAAACAGTATGGAAAATTCTTTAGGGAACTAAAAGTAGAATGAAATGATCCAGCAGCCACACTTCTGTGTAGTATTCCAGCACATTCTAAGTCAATGTGTTCAAGAGGTGTCCCCGTGATTGATGATGCAATGATTTAACACGTGTAAAGCGCTCAGAATCATTTCTAGCATGTGTAAGACCTCAGCAGCTGCCCTAAAGGTCCTGACATACCTGACATATCCATGCCATCTCTAAGGTAACTACTGAGCCAGGTGGACAAGGAGATGTGTCTCTAGCCCTTTAGAGAGTAGGTAACTAGCAGGCTTAGTATTTGTATGTCGTACCTCTCTCCCTTCCCCTTCCTACACTGAAGTCCTAACCCCAAGATGATGGCATTAGAAACTGAGGCCTTGGGGAGGTGACTAGGTCACCAGAGCTGAGCTCTCTGGAAAGGAAGTAGCATCTGTATAAAAGAGGCCCCCTCCACAATGCCAGTTTCCAGTGGCACAGCAGTCTGCAAGGAGCCTGGCTTTGAGAGACACCTTCATTTTGGACTGCTCCACCTCCAGAAAGCTAGGCTATGGAGTTATAGTCTTTATAAGCCACCCAGTCTTCAGTATTTTGTTGCATTTACAAATCCAGTGACTAAGACACTATTTCCCCAAACAGCTGAGTTTTAGAAACCTATATTTTCATAGAAATATGAGCTTCTATTTTGCAGGGAGGCAGCGACACCATATGTCAGCCCTAAGCATTTAATATAGATAAATATGCATTAAGATACATTATAGTTATTTGATCACTCAATCATTTTGTGAAGAGACCAGTGTTTGTTTGTTTTGTGTTGCGGGAGCTCCACTGCATAGCCTCAGTTATGCTAAACATGGGTCCTGCCTTTAACCTGTATCCCCAGCCATGAATTCACTTGACAGATAGTGTGCACCTATCAAGTGAAGGACAGCATTCCTAGAACTAGTTCTAGACAGCTGCCTAGAACAGCAGCAGTTCTTTGGCCAAGGCTCAGAAACAATCCTCCACAAGTTCTCCATTGTTTTGTAGGGTTATTTTGGAGCTGTTGGGGCCCTGTTGGAACTGTTCAAAATGACCGATGCACAGTAGATGAAACAGCCTCCTGTGAGAACAGAGAACTGACAGACACTGCCAGAGAAGGTGACATCTCCTTGGAATAGAAGCCAAGCCACTGTGGTGGATGTACCTGCTGAATTTGTAAATAATTTAAAATCCTAGATCTTTTGCTCTTAGGTTTCAAGCTTATGATACAAAATGGGGAATATAGTAATTTTTTTCTGTATACTGTATTTTTTAAAAAAGAAATTGTGCAGCGTGGCCAAACCTACCAGTTTCATGCATTAACTTTGAAAAGTTGTGTGATGCTTAAGAGGGGCCTGAAATGGAAGCGCTGTTCATGTTTCTTCTGGGGTTTACTGATCAGTGTGGTAATTTTAACTTCATTTAGTAATTACTCTAGGAGATTTTACCTTTACTTATATTTTTTCATGACGTTTCATGATTTGCTCTTGGTTTCAAATGAAACTACGAATCTGGCATGTTGCACTGTGAACACTTTTTGTTTGTTTGTTTAATCCTTTCTGATTCAGTGTCTTAGGACAAAAAAAAAAAAAAAAAAGGCCTTTTCCTGTTTTTGTCTTCTCATCTCCCTCTTATCTATCTATACACTTTCCTTGTTCTAATTGCTCATGTCAATCAAGGTGCTGACCAACTCAACACGAAGTTAAACACATAATCTGAAGTTCTAAAAATGTGACTGCAGTGAGAAAACTTAAAAGGAAAGGGTTAATGAAAGTGGCACACATTGAACATTATATGCACTTTTATCTTTGTTTCCGTACCCCTCGTAACTATAATGTTTCATTGGATATACTTTACACTAAGTTGAAATAGTCTGTCGTAAAATGTCCTCATTCATGTATGTCATAAGAATGGCAGAAAATCCCCATGTAAAGTTTGGAGGGGCTGTCTTAGCTGATCTGGACACACTAGATTTAGGGGAACTCATGAGTTGAGGTGTCAGTTAGAAATATTGTTTTGTACATGTTTGTACTAGGAACCATGTAACAAGACATGAGTAATAATGTTAAAGGTTTTTTTTTTAACTTCTGTTTTAGTATTTAAACTGTGATTTGTACTTTATTTCATTTCTAAAACTGAAATATAATTTATGATACATATATGTATATATACACACATATATATATATATATATATACATACCTTTCCTTCTGAAAGGTTTTCATTAAAATAGATGGGTCACTTTCAAAAGAGGATGCTGCACGCACACTTTAACACAAGATGTAACAATCTTTTGGATGGAGGATACTCTTGCAAGGGCTTTGGAAAGGCAATACAGTAACTCCTTGGTCAGTCTTCACCTCTCTACCTTGTGAAGCACCCACCTTTCATTTCCGTATCCTTGAGTCTTGAAGAAGTTGATGCTGATGGAAGAATTCACTTGTCTGGTTTAAATAAAGCCCGTTTCTGTTGGGATGTTTTTAGTGTATATGTTATTTTCATTTCTTATACCTCGTCTTTATACTGACCTGCTTTATATGTAAAGTAACTGTATGTTGTTGTTATTGCTGCTGCTACTGCTGCTGTTGTTTTTCTGCCGCATAGCTCATCATATGAGGCTTTCCCACAGGTGTGGGAAGGTCCAGACTGAGTCTTGAGCTATAGCTGTAAGCCCATATAGGGATTTTTTTTTAATTTAGCTTTATTACTCTTATATTATTGACTGCTTAATGCCAAAGTACCACTGTGAGATTTGGTAATTCTGAACCAGTTTCAATTTTCTCTCACCACATATACATTCTGTCAACTTCTGCTTTAGCTTTAAAACATTCAGTCAACTACAATGTTCTCGAAAGAGACATTATCTCTGTATTATCTATCCTAGTGCCTTTTGACTGTCTCTTCCTCCCTTCTTTAGACTTTCAGGGGACAGCAGACCTTAGACCTGAAGGTCATGATTCTGCAGAGAAAACCAGGGCAAATAACTGTGCCTATATATTTTATTAATTATCTGAAATCACGTGATGTCTCATTCCAAACATCTAAAACATTGGAGCTAGGTGTAGTGGTGCATTTTTGTAATCCCAGCACTAAGGCAAGAGGATCAATGTGAATTCAAGGCCAGCCTGGGCTACCTAGAGTTCCAGGACTGTCTGCATAACCCCTCCCCACCCCCGACACCATTGGTGTAGATGAATAAATGCATTTCCCATTAAATTACCAACCAAGTGTTGGCTACATAGAGCTAGCCTGTTTCTACAAAGAGGTACTTGTGTCCTGAGGATTTTTCACATTTTCCTTGAATTACAGAGTTCTCCATAGATTGGCCATCACAAAGAAAAACTGTGCCATGTGACATGAGGTTGGTGAGATGGTCCAAAGTGAGATAGCTTTGGTTTGGATACAGCTTAGCCAGTTACTAACTGTGAAAGCAAGTGGCTAAAATTCCCTTTAAGCCCAAGTTTGCTCATGTGTAAAATACAGCAAATAGTTTTACATTTCTATTTTAACATACACATTTAAATGTGTCATGCATTTTTAAAGACATTTTAAAGCAATGCATTAATAGATTGTTCCAAACTCTCTCTCTCAGTTGTGATTAGCATGGAGACACTTCACAGAATCCCAGGACAGAACATGGCCATGATTCCAAAACCTCATGCCCTTGAGTTTGCTGTCACAGTTGACTTGGCAGCCTGAGCTAACTTGAGCATTGTTTATCACAATAATGGGACTTCTCAGATACTTTGTAGCAGAACTGTTAGTGTGTATGATTTCAGGGTACTTCTTAAGGGCAATTCAGTGAGAATGACTCTGAATTTTAAAGTATATATAGCCTAAAGAATTTCTGACAAGGATTGGCTTTTGCAATACATGGATTCAGAATCCCTTTCTTAGGAGCTATTAGAGAGGAATTACAATTGATGCCACTCAGTGTTGTGAGGAATATCACAGAGTTACTACAGGTTACTTTAGATATCTAGGAAGGAGGTAGAAACTAAGATGAACAGTATACATCCATGCTGCCCAGCAGAGAAAACAGCAAAATTGCAAGGCAAAGTGTGAATTGAGACATAGAGTCATTATTCACAAATACATCAATAAACAAAATGAAGTTCCATGATCACAAACCTTACATTCTAGAAGGAAAAGGAATGGATAAATTATACAATACATAATAAACATACAACATCATATTACTTCACTACTGCAAAGAAAAAGTAGACTAAAAAAGTAGACTAAGGCTTATATTCCTTCTATTGAGAAGAATAGTTCTTTTTAGGAAAATGAGAAAGGGAGGAGCTTCTCCAATCAGGGTGACCAGAGATAATCTCTCATTGGAGATGACTCTGGGCAGAGACTTGGGTGAAACTGGAAGCATACTAAATAGCTGGGGGGGGTATTCTTTTTCCACTAAGGTAAATGGGAAGTGGGAGTTTAGGGGATCTGTAAGAGGCTTTATTATAACATGCCAAGAGGGGTGGGAAACTCAGTTTTAGGAGTAGCACTAGACTGAGTTCCACTGGGAGTAGGACTTGTGAGAATGGAAGGGGCGACAGAGCTGGAGGCTTCTTGGTAAGGGTGCTTGGGAAGGTTTTGTGGAATTTTAACCAAGTGTGGATCAGGAGGGGAGGGCCTCTCAGCTGAAGGAAGCTAAATGATAAAGGAAGAAATAGCCTGCTTGCCGCCTTCGGAGTTTCTTTTGCTGAAACCTGGTTCACAAATGAGAATCTGGGTCCTGGGAGAGAGGCAATCAGCTATGTATGGAGGGGCTTTTATTCCATGCTAGAGATTTTAGAATCCTTTGTCATCAGCGTGGAGCCATTGCAGCATTTCAAATAAAGTGAACCTAGAAGCAACCTAGCTTCAAAGGAACAGAGCAAATTGTCCTCTTGAGGGAAATCAATAAGCCAGTTACTACACAAATATATGAGACCGTTCCATTATCTGGCTCATTGTTCCCAGTGTGCTGGGCTCAAGCAGTATCTGCATAGTGAACCATGTTTTCTCTGTAACTACTTAGGGCTACAACTCTACCCTGAGTCTAGCTGGTGAATAAGAAGGTCCTAGCACCAAGTTTCACCCTAAGCTCTTATCCCTTGCAAGAGTTGTTATATGGAAATAAATTTTCTCCCAGTGATCAGAAGATGATTTGAAACATCTGAGAAAGATTTGTATAATGTACCTTGTTTACCAGCCCTTACTAAGTGTTCATTCATTTACTCTCCATCATTTTAACTTTTACTGAAAAGTCATGACATGGGAGGCACTGGGCAACACGCAAGATGCCCAGAGCTATGAACGAGACTGGAGACCCCAGCTTTCTTGGGCTGTCACTCTTGGCGGGTGATAGGAATTGTGTGTGTAAGCCAATACATAGGAAATGTTCAGAGTATCAAGTGCTCTGAAGAAGGGGAGAAAGTGAAATGATGGATGAGCAGAAGGACCTCCTTGGCCAGATGTTCTTGGTATGCAAGTGTGATTCAATCCTGATCTCAGCTCTTAGGAGTGACACACTCTCCTAGCTTTCATTTTTTTAAAACTAATCATTTCATGACACAGGTTTATTTGGATTGTTACTTGAATCATCACTGTCAATACTTTACCATCGGGATCACTTCATTGTTTCCACTGTGTAACTTCAGCCCTTTGTGAATTTATATGTGATATGTTGCTCTTTTCTTCCTCAGACAACCCACAAGCACTTTCTCTCATAATGAACTCAATTACTGCAGTTTCTGGAAGGTATCTGTGTACCAGCGACACGGTGTAACCGTTTGTGTAGAGCCCTTTCAAGTCAGCCTTGAAAGGCTGCTTGTCAACGATTCATCATTTGCAATAGAAAAATAAACTCTGAGTTTTAAAAGTCTTTGGCTCTTCCTTTATTCACTGTTCACAAACAGAGAATCTTCCCATCTAGATTTAGCTGGGATGACTCAGGGTTTTCACCACACTGCTTTCAACCAGTGGCCAAGAAATCATCTTTTCTTAAAGAATTTTCAAGAAGAAAAAAAAGTTTCATATGTGCATATAGTTTAATGTCAAAGGGATGCACAAGACTGAATATAAAAATGGGAGGAGCCAGGTTTTCCTTTTGTTGTTTTTGTTTATTTAATCATTTTGAGCATACTGGCTTACCAGGAAAAGGTAAAGGGGGAGTGGTAATTTTTGGTTTTTTTTGTTGTTGTTGTTGTTCTGTATTATTATTATTATTACTTCAATGTTTAAGAGTACTGGGTGTGTGTGTGTGATAATTTTTTTTAATTTAAATTTGAAACAAGCTTGTTTTATATGTCAATCGCAGTTCCTGCACCCTCCCATCCTCCCCTGTTTTCCCCCACCAACCCCCTTCACATCCACTTTCTGCTCCCCAGGAAGGGTGAGGCCTTCCATGGGGGGTCTTCAAAGCCTGTCATATCATTTGGTGCAGGGCCTAGGGCCTTCCCCCATCTGTCTAGGCTGAGGGAGTATCCCTCTATGTGGAATGGGCTCCCAAAGTCCATTTGTATACTAGGGATAAATACTGATCCATTACCAGAGGCCCCATAGACTGGCCAGTCCTCCTAACTAACATCCACATTCAGGGGGTCTGGGTTGATCCTATGCTGGTTTCCCAGCTATCAGCCTGGAGTCTGTGAGCACTCCTTGTTCAGATCAGCTGTTTCTGTGTGTTTCTCCAGCCTGGTCTTGACCACTTTGCTCATCATTCCTCCCTCTCTGCATCTGGATTCCAGGAGTTTGGCTCAGTGTTTAGCTGTGGGTGTCTGCTTCTGCTTCCATCAGCTACTGGATGAAGGCTCTAGGATGACATATAAGGTAGTCATCCATCTCATTATTGGGGAAGAACATTTAAGGTAGCCTCTCCACTATTGCTTAGATTGTTAGTTGGGGTCATCCTTGTAGATCTCTGGATATCTGAATGCCAGATTTCTCTTTAAAACCTATAATGGCTCCCTCTATTACGTATCTCTTTTCTTGCTCTCCTTTATTCTTTCCCTGACTCAATCTTCCTGCTCCCTCATGCCTACCTCTCCCCTCCTCATCCTCCTAACTTCCTCTCCCTTCCACCCATGCTCCCAATTTTCTTGGGAGATCTTGTCCCTTCCCCCTTTTGCAGGGGACCATGTCTCTCTTAGGGTCCTTTTTATTTCCTAGCTTTTTTGACAGTGTGGATTGTAGGCTGGTAATCCTTTGCTTTATACCTAAAATCCATATATGAGTGAGTACATAACATGTTTGTCTTTTTGTGACGCGGTTACCTCACTCAGGTTGGTTTCTTCTAGTTCCATCCATTTGCCTGTGAATTTCAGGATTCCATTATTTTTTGTCTGATGAGTAGTACTCCATTATGTAAATGTACCACATTTTCTCCATCTATTCTTCAATTGGGGCATTTAGCTTGCTTCCAGGCTCTGGCTATTACAAATAATGCTGCTATGAACATAGTTGAACAGATGTCCTTGTTGTATGAATGTGCATTTTTTGGGTATATGCCTAAGAGTGGAATTACTGGACTTTGAGGTAGACTAATTCCCATTTTCCTGAGGAACCACCATACTGATTTCCAAAGTGGCTGTACGAGTTTGCACTGCCACCATCATCTCCCAGAGACCCACACAGCCTATGATGTCACTAGGCCTCAGTATTCCACTGGGAGTCTTCTTTTCTAAGCTCTAACTAGTGAAGTTCTTTCGGGCTGTAGGGGTCAGGTCACAATGTGGTTCTAGGCTAAGGTCTCCCATGTTGATACGAAACTCATGTAGCTCTTCATGACAAACTGGTAGCTCAATAAATCTTCATCTATGGCAGCTGCTTCGTGTGTGGTCTATGGCACCAGGGCAGTGCAGGGGAAGGGTGTACTGAATTGGGGGCAGCTTCAGTTGGTTTACCTTTCTCTTCTCAGGCGTCTTCATGGTGACTGCTAAGATTGCATTTCTCTCGAATCCCCTCTAAGGGTGCTGAAGTGTGTCTCTCAGGCCTCAGCCTGTCTGGCCTTTGCCTCATCTGGATCTATTATTTTCATGTTCTTCACATGGAAGAAACGTAAGATATCGAACTGGTCCAAGAGGGAAGAGTCTTTCCTGCAGGGTGATGATGCCTTGCCTGGAAAAACGGTTCATCATTCAGCTGTCACTTAAGTTCATGGCCTTGATACTCAGCTGCACCACTGATTCATAGGTACAGGCATCCCTAGTTGTCGTGATGACATTGTTGTGGGTGTTGTCAGTGAATGCAGAGGACAGCGCTGGACAGTGGTACCACCCTTCCCTGTTCTTCACATCAGGGACTTAGCACTGTGTTTCTCTTCATTAGTGGGGCTGGTCCCATACTTCTTAAGTCATAGATGACTCCTTCTATGACTGGGTAGTCAAAAGGCTGTGGTGGTCAATGGTGAGCATCAAAAACTGGTCTATGCGACATCTGGCTTCTTGCCATGAGAGGTGTGAGTGTATTCAACACAGATAATGTACATCTTGTCCTGCTGCTGCTGTTGTTTTCTTACAGCGACTGTGGGGAAGTGGGCAGTGAAAGGAATTCTCCACTTTCCTCTTTATAGGCTGTGGCCACACCCTATGGAATAGTTTGGTACCTATAGTTAAGGCAGGGTGTTTCCTTCTCTAACTAATCTAGGCAATCCCTTCATGTAATGCAGAAAGGCTGTCTCTTATGTGATTTTGTCACATCCATAATATTAGCCATCTCAGTGGGATCTTGGCTAGGACTACAATGGAGAAGCCCAGGAGTTATGTCCTGAAGAATATTCAGACTATAAAACAAGCCACCAGAACTACAGCAGCTCTAGGGGCTACAAATGGGACCACTGTGTAAACTCAGGGCTGGCACCAGCTGCACCCATGTGGAATACACAAAGGCAATGTGTTTTGGGGGTGAGGTACAGTAAAATGGGCTCCTTTCTCTTCAGTGGGAAGTGTTCACAGGCCCTCTAAAGTTTTGTTTTTATGAGGGTCTGTAGCCTGAAATATAGCTTCTAACAAAACTAGTCTGTCCTGAAACTCTGATCATAGAATTGTTTACCATCAGACAAGGTGGGGGATTTTCCAAAAATCACCCTTTGGTGTGTCCCCAGGCAGACTTAAGGTATCATTGTATAAGACCTTAAGTCATCAGTAGATCATCTAAGATTAAAAACATGCCAAGAGAGTCTACTCTGGAAAGAGGTGTGCTACATGTGTCTATCACAGGAGCAACCATCTTTTCTTTATTGATCAGAAATCATCTTGAAACTGTTGAAGAAACGCAAGCACTGAAGGGATCTTTTAACAGGCCCGTACATGGCAAACACATGTTGGAGCATGGCAAACATGGCCCTGACAGGTTTCCCCTTTTTATACTTCTCCCCCTTTTAAAAACCATTAGGTTACATTCCTAAAGCTAGCCCCAAAGGTCCATTCCCTTATTTAGCCACTGACCGACCACTCCTGGGACAAAACACCAAGGTGCAACAATCAAAATTCACTGTCTGGCCAACGTGTCCAACCAGGACTTAGCAGCTCACCCTAGCATAGACTCTTGCCCTTTTTCCTTAAAGATCCACTCCTGCAGAAATGCCTGCTTGCTGCTCCTACTACTGCTGCTTGCTGTTGGCTTTTATAGTCTCCCCCTGCCCTACTGCTTGCTCCTCCAGGTAGTAAATCTCTGTAGTTGTGTGGGGTTGTTTTTTGTTTGTTTGTTTAACTCTTTGCTTTTTGGGGGTGCACCACCTACCTCCCAAATAAATACACGGAGACTTGCTTTTTTCTTATAAATGCCTGACCTTAGTTTGACTTGTTTTTAGCCTCCTTTTCTTAGCTTAAATTATCCCATCTTACCTTTTGCCTCTAGGCTTTTACCTTTTTCTATTTCTGTACACCTTTTCTTTCCTTCTTATTCCATGTCTGGCTGTGTGGCTGGGTGACTGACCCCTGGCATCCTCCTTTCCTACTTTTCTTGTTCCTCCTACTTTTTGTACTTTCCTTCTAGTTATTCTCTCTGCCTGGCAGCCTCACCTATCATTTCTCCTGCCTAGCTATTGGCTGTTCAACTCTTTATTAGGCCAATCAGGTGTTTTAGGGAGTCAAATAACTTGGCTTCACAGAGTTAAGCAAGTGTAACATAAAAGAATGCAACACATCTTTGATCTTTGCGTCATTAAACAAATGTTCCACAGCATAAATGAATGTAGCACATCTTAAAATAATATTTCACAACAAATTTCCTTTGTGCTGAGAATTTGGTGTCTGGGTGTGTTCTGTACTGATGGAGGGATAGGGTGTCATACTCCCTTACACTCAGAGCAGAAAATTAAATAACCATTTTTAATGGAAAGCAGGGTCCTTCCCAAAGTAAAGGCAGATCTCTTGTTGGAATGCTGTCAAAATGCTGGTAGCCAGATAGTGAGGTGGATAATGAAAGCCTAAAGAATCTCACAGCACAGCCTCAGATGAACTTACTCTTGCACACTTGGAGTAAACCAGCAAAAAGCTCATAGACATTACGGTTTGTCTGCCACTGCTCCAGCAAGTTTCAGAATGTGGAAGTCAAAATGGAGATTAGTTAATTCTCTACAGAGGTGAACATTTCATTTATTTAGTTTGTTTATTAAGTTATTTGTGGTTTTTGAGACAGAGTCTTACTATAGAGCTGTAGCTAGCCTGGAACTCACTGTGGAGACCAGGCCAGGCTAGCCTCAAACTCACAGGGATTTGCCTGCTTCTGCCTCCCTAATGCTTAGTTTAAAGGTGTGCACCACTCTATCTGGCAGAGATGAACATTTTAAAGGAGTTTTAAATAGTCCTTATTTACGTGGTGTGGATTTGAACTAGTGGAATGAAGTCAGTATGAATACTCCATAGAGAACTTGTTAAATAG